TGTCGTGAGCCTGCCCATCTTTGGAAGTGATCTTTCATGATGAAGAGGTTTTTAAATTTAGATATATATTTCTCATTTTTTTTGTTTCATTCTTAACACGTGCTTTTTTTATATTATAAAACGCGGCTCAAAGATTCACAATTGCAAATGTTGAATTGCTTTTTTGCGGTTACTCCCATGGTTATTCTCAATAATGATAAAATATACGAAAATCATGTTTTAATGTATTAAGAAAGTAAGAACAAAACATAAATAATTGCATACACGTTTGTTGTACATAATTTTTTGTATATTTTCTTAATTTTAAAAATTTATAGGACAATGTTCTCGAATTATATTTTCTTCATTAAATTATCTTTATTTTTGAATTATCTAGAATTATATTCTCTTAATTTTAAAAATTCAGTTTTTTCTGTATACAGAATCATTTTATTATGGTTTTTTAAGGGTAAAAGATTAGAAAGAAAAAAATAGGTAGGAGAGCATTCATTTTAACAGAAAAAATAAAATAAATTTCATAAAAAAAATATGCTGAGAATAGGCAATATTATGCGGAATAAAATCTGAAATAGGTGCAGGAGTTTTTATTCCAATCTCAAATATCCTGTGTATATAAAATGATTATATGCGTTATCGATTATAGAGACTAGGAAAATAACATTCCGTAAACTTTTTGTGATATTTAGGTTTTGAATAGATGTATTAACATCAACAAAGGTAAATAATGAAAGATTGCATAAACATTTTGCAAATCTATCTCTATGAATCGTTTATTAAACATAGAATACAGATTAGATCACCCCCACCCCAAAGAAAAAATTACTTGATCAAAGTCATGGTAACATGCATGAGAGGGTTTTTGTTGTTACCGTTGTCAAGCAACTTTGAGCGGTTGAAAATTCGGAGCTAGGCAAACTGTTCGTTCATTAGATAGTGAGGTCTGATATGTTTATATATCTTCCGCATGCAGAAATTGAGAGAGTATCTCCTTAACATATTAGATCTTTTTCCGGCGGCGCATTAAGGGAAGAACTGAAGTAGAGGTTTCGAGAAGTTTGCAGATCTGAGGGGATGCAAAAGTGTGGAGGATCCCACGGTTCGGCGGGGGAGGAGGATGAGTAATTTTGGCGAGGCAGGAGGCTGTCACTCTGTCAGGCCGGCAATGGAGGTGGTTGTGACCTTTGCGGATTGGTTCTGGAAGCATTCCGTTGTTTGTACCTTTTAGTTTTTTTGCATTAGATTGAAGAAGTACGTATAGGTTTGGAGATGATGTTCTGGATCATGGGCTTATTTTATTTGGGCTTGTTCCATCCTTAAATTAATGAGTTATTCATGAGTGACCCAAATATTTGGTAATTAGGTAATGTGAAAGGGGTCAAAATTTTCACCGAATATTTGAATTGGATTTTAAAGGAATGGAGGTGAATGATTAACAAAGAAAGATGAATTCATGCTTAGGAATCGGTTGAATTTTAACAAGATGAAATATCAAACACGACAAAATGAAGAATAATGAGTATGCGAGTGCAAATAGCTTCAAGCCGTAAATCAAATGTACGGATGTTGATTGTATCACGTGATTTTGACTTTAATGAATAAATGTTTTAGAGGGTGGGAGACTCTTCCTTTATATTTGCTGATTTGCAAAGTATGTTAATTTAAGAAGTAATTTTTGTGTGATATAGTTACCAAAATAAATTTAGGGGCAAGAACTTGTCATATAGGTATCATTGTTTTGAAATCAATGAATTCGGCTTCACATCTATTTTTGATCTGTCATGACAGTTTATTTTTCAAGAGTCAACGGAAATTGGTAAATTAAAAATTTAAAAATAAAAGTAAAAAATTAGTAAGGTAAAACCTACATTTTATTTGCATTTTTATTTTTTTTGTATATTCTACTTTTTAAAAATTCTACTTTATAGTTTTATACGTAGTATTATGTACGTTTTTCATGTTTTTTTTATTTAGATGGAAGCATCAATGGTATCCCTACAAGCAGGGCCGACCCGAACATATTGAGGGCCCTGTTCAAAATGTAATTGGAGGCCCTAAAACACAAATTTTAGGGAGTCAAATTAAAATAATCATTAAGAAAAGTGTACAAACAATTTGTGATAGACCTATATTATTTTATTTCCCTAACAAACGAAACATCATAACTCCCAAAAACATATTAGCAGGGTGCTTATGAAAAAGAGTGGGGCTACTCAAGAAGATTAAAGATAAGAAAATAGAGGTATATGCACGTGATGAAGAACATGATAGTACCTTAAATACATAGATGGAAAAATATTGAAGTGTTGAACGCTGCAGAGCGCAACTTTGAAGGGTTGAACTTATCCTTCTGCTCCACTTTGGATTCAGATTTCAAAAGAAAATACAAGAAACTATTTGAAATAAACTGTTTGGAGAATAAGATTAGGTAGAACGGAATTGACAAAGAAATTAATATAGATTAAAGTAATTTTGTAAGTTGTAGGATGTTTTACGAGGAGTCACGATGTCACATCGTTGTAGGATGATTCCTTCTTCCGACTTTCCGATTTCCTAACCGGCGGTTGTCGCCAAATCTCAAATACGGAGTATTAAATATTCAAATCTTTTTTTTGCTCTAACCAATGGTACTAAACAATGAATTAAAATTGGGGGCCCTCTTTTAGTGGAGACCCTGTTCCACTGCACCACTTGCACTCCCTTAGGGTCGGGCCTGCCTACAAGTTTCAACATATAGTTCTGCGTTAGAATATTCATAAATGCGACTCCATGCTGCTGCAAACTTTTAGAGTATGTAGAGTATTAAAATTGAGTAGTATACACTTTTATCAAGATGTCTAAATGTGGAAATAATAGAGTGAGTTTCAAGTTATGCGAGAATACACCGTTGGTCACCCCGATTGGCTGGCATTACTAGGGCAATTCATATATTATATTTCACCGCTTACAAGCAACCATAATATTGGTTAAGTGATGTATACCATCATCTATTCAACAGATTCGTCTTAAGTATGGTTGTGTTATGGTTAGTACGTTGTGATATCTAGGGATATACATAAGGGTAATATACATGCATGAGTAAAACTCATACAAAATCCTGGTATATGACTTGGTGACATTCTTTTCTATTGTATGACCAGGGAGAATTTTTAGATCAAAATATACTAAAAAAATTAAAAGTCACGTAGGAGTCTTTGGTTATAAATAGTGAAATTTGCAATAAAATTTCCATAAACGTAGACTATGGAGGAAAAAAATGGTTGGTTCCATTTTAAAAGAAATTGATAGTGTAATTTGAATTACTGAGCACAAATAAATTTGAAAGAAATATTCTCCAACCGTGCATCGCACGGGTGAGTTTACTAGTAATAGTAGTACTAATAATAATAATAATAAATCATATTAGAACTTTTATAATCTGATATGAATGTTTTTGCTCCGGTCTGAACATTTTTGTTCAGATACTAATGTTTTTTATCCGAATCTTCTGACCTGGTCGAATATTTCTGATATGATATAATCCGATCTGGTATGATTTGAATCTTTGTGATTTATTGATATAAAATAAGAATAAATATTAAATAATGAGCCCGTTTGGTGACTCTGTTTTTCGGCTTATCAGGCTTATCAACTAGTTTTTTAACCAAACATGTAACTTTTGTTTTCGCGCGCTGAATTGTGTAATAATAAAAAAAGTAAGGTTGGAGTTACTTTTGTGGCTGTATTGGCTAAAGTTACTGTAGATGACCATTTTAGCTATTTTTCATATAATATTTTCTTTGTTTTATTAATAAAATATATTTTAAATACAATTCATTCATAAATCAGCAGAATCAGCGAATACAATCAATTTAGCCAAAACTTCATAAATTTTAGCAGAATAAGCCGATTCAGTTTTATCAAACGTGATCAATAAGAATAAGACAAGATGAATTCTTAAATGTTTTCTTGATGTGTAGTAATAAAAATAAAATAGTCACCCGCACGGGTAGCTTAATTGGTTTAGTAGTGAGAAAATTGAATGAATGACCAATGATTAAAACCCGCAGCGATCGTGTGGAGGTTACAATTTAGTGTGCAGGGATGGACCTTTGGTGCGCACGGGTAAAAGGTCTACTACCATTGAACTGACGGAGTCACTGTAATTTACAACATCCCATAATTTTAATTGAACCCTCATAAATGTTTTGTACGATAGTATAGTTGAAATCATGTACTAAACACCATAAAATTACATTTGTAAAAGAATATATGATCGTGATGCTAACATAAATTTTTATACGAAGCTTGAGATATATATATTACCTCCGTCCCAAAAAACTTTGTCATTTTCAAAACTTTGAATAACTATATATTTTTATTGAAAATTATTTATAATATCAAAATTATACTCCCTCCGCATTTAAATGATCACTACACTAGGGGTTGACACAATATTTAAGGTGGAAATAGTAGATGTAATGAATAGTGCAGAAAAAAGTAGAAGAGAAAGTGGAAAAGTAGGAAAAAGAAGATAAAAAGATAGAAGAAGTAAGGATAATTGAACATTTTTAAAGAAAAAACATACTCCGTACTAAAGAGTGTATCTCGCCCCATTGCCATCCGTAAGTGGGAGAGATGGGCAATCACACATATTAATTGTGTCAGTGGCAACGTGAGGATTTTCAAAATGTTGTACAGTGAGTATAGTGCTGTGCTGGGTCACCGGTCAGCTGATGATGAATTGAAATCCGTTCGCTCGCTACGCAAAAATACATTTCAAAAAAAAAAAAAAGAGCCGGTTTCATTTATTTAGGATTAATTAATTAAATAATATCGCCGGCCGGCCAAAATGACGTTCGTTTTTTATGCCAACACGACTACACTGCATCGGATCCCAATCCTAGTCCTAATTTAACCGGCTGCGGTAAAAAAAGAACCCCCACTCACATGCATGAATAACTGTGAAGATAAAACGACAAAATCACCCCTGCCCTGCCCTGCCCTGCATCTATCTATCTTCTGTTCAATTACAACACATTGAGAGACCCCTCCTCTCTAATTATTATTATCGGACAAGGCCACAAACGTTTTGGCTGCTTTTCAGTTAGGATAAGACCGGTGACGGAGCGCCGGCGGTTCCAGTGGCGTACCGCATCCACCCATACCTAGCTGCTGCTGCTACTACTACTACCCCAGCGTCTCCTTCTTCAACATTATTGCACTCAAGCTTGGTGCGAATGGTGGCTTCCGCGCTTTTTTGCAGCAGCAGCAGGAGGACGAAACACCCACTCGCATTACCTCTGCTCTTCCTCTCTCTCTGCGCTTCTCTCGCTTTCTCCGCCCGCCTCCCGGCCTCCCGCCGTGACCTTCATCTACATAACCACTTGAAAAGGCTAAACAAATCTCCCGTCAAAAGCATTCAGGTTTACATTCACACTATTTTTCTTTTTCGTTTTCAGTGGATATACATTCTTTCTCTCTCTGCATTTTCACTTTCTGGAATTTGTTTCCTCTGATAAAGTTTTGGTTTTATCCCTTCTTCTTGTTGTAATTATTCGACAGAGCCCGGATGGGGATATCATTGATTGTGTGCACATCTCCAAACAGCCTGCTTTTGACCACCCTTTTCTCAAAGACCACAAGATCCAGGTTTGTTCATTCTTCTCCTCCTTTTTTAGCTCCACTCATCTGCCTCCTTTTTAATCTATTTTCCACAACGGTTTGAGCGGCTATACCGGTTCTATTGAATGTAATTTGAAAATAATAGTAATAAATTAGTAATAATAATAATAACGAATATTAACAGACGAGGCCAGACTACCACCCAGAAGGCCTCTATGATTTGGAGAAGGAATCTTTTGTTGGAACAAAACAAGGAACAAATCCAATAACTCAGCTATGGCACACGAATGGACATTGTCCTGAGGACACAATCCCTATAAGGAGGACAAAGAGAGAGGATGTAGCAAGGGCAAGTTCTGTGAAGAAATATGGGAAGAAGAAGCACAAGAGCTATCCTAAGCCCAGCGGTACAGATCCTGGCATTGTCAGTGAAAGTGGTCATCAGGTACTAGAGATTTAACTTTGGGATTTCTTGTGGCTTGCATTTTACAGGGGCAGGGAAAGATTAATTTTCATTTTTTTCACTTGCTAATTCTTCAATGTAAATGATATATAGCTCATTTCGAAAGCGTTGTTGCTGATTTTTCATAAAGGAAAAGCACTTTGCAAAATCTCTATCAGCCAAATAAGCAAGTCAAATGCTACTGCTTATTCATATAAATAGAATACACCGTTGTTTTCTTGAAATGGACCCATTAAATTATAAATAGATAAATAAGTACAACTTCAACATCCAAGTCTTAGTCCCAAAAGAGTTTGGGGTCGGCTAACATGAATCAACATATGAAATCAGAGCTAAAAAATGGTACAAAAAAGCCTCCTAAATCCAACTCCCAAATGTACTCTTAATTGTTGCAACAAAGTATTGTGATTTGAGCTTATATGTCGATTTCAATGAAGAGTCCGACACTCTGACTGTATCTGAATTGTGTTGATGATGCTGGAACCAGCATGCAATAGGTTATGTACAGGGGGAGAGATATTATGGAGCAAAGGCGACCATTAATGTTTGGGAACCCAAAATACAGCAGTCTAATGAGTTCAGCTTATCCCAGATCTGGGTTCTTGGTGGTTCTTTTGGACAAGACCTTAACAGCATTGAGGCTGGTTGGCAGGTTTGGTTCCATCCCCCAAATGTGTGGTAATTTATAACTAAATATCAAATTATCAATATATACATTTGAGCAATTTTCTCAATATATTATGCATAAATTTGTTTGTTGAAAACCTCACAGTAAACCGTTGGTGAAAAATGATGAATTACTGGTTGATGTCACACTTGCGCTATTTTAGTGTAGAAATTGTTGACGGGGGGTTAAAGATGGTCTAATGATGCAACAATTTGCAATAAAATGCACCAAAAGATGAATTATTTGCTTTTTTTATTGACCTAATTGTGCAGTTTGTATTGTGGCGATAGAGGGGATAACCTCCAACCATCCAAATGAAATCCATGGATAAACCTTATCCTCTTGATTCTATGTGAATGGTTTGGGGAGTAATTCCAAACAAATGATTCATATTGCACTGCAAAATTTTAACCATAGTAAATTACAGCTATCAGAAATCTTCAGTTTAAGCTATGTTTTAATTTTCTTCTATTGATTCGACTATGTTTGACGTGCTGAAGTGTTTTGAACATATTTATAGAAATACAAAATCAAGAATACCTTTATTGGTTAAAAAATGTACTCCGTATCCTTTTTGAGACATTAACATTTTAAAGAGAATACTTTCTTTTTGGGGACTGAGGGTGTCTTTTCCTTGTAATTTGGTCTAACGGGAGAGCTTGTGTAATCTCAGGTCAGCCCAGACTTGTATGGTGACAATAACACTCGGCTGTTCACTTACTGGACAGTAAGTAAACCAATGATACCTGTAGACTTAAATTACCATATGTTTTAAGAAACAATTCATTTTATGCTTCTTGATATGTATCATCTTTACTGATGTTGAAAACTCAAAATATCTTGTAGAGTGACGCATACCAAGCCACAGGTTGTTACAACCTTCTCTGCTCGGGATTCATTCAGGTCAACAGTCAAATAGCAATGGGTGCAAGCATATCTCCTGTTTCTGCATATCGAAATTCACAGTATGATATCAATATTCTTATCTGGAAGGTAAATTCCAAATTAATTAGACCAAGCTGATAAAGTAAATGATGTTTTATACGTAGTATATTTTAGGGAAAATATCATTAATCTTGTCCCAGGCTTGTAATATCAATTAGAATTATCTGTCTTTCATTTGTTAAAGTACCGAATTATTCTTGGTAATCTTACTATTCAATTATATGAAAGTGACTCTTAACGTAAAGTAATAAGACATTGAGAGGCCGTTTGCAACACTGTTTTTCGGCTTATCAGACTTATCAGCCAACTTTTTCACCAAACACGTAACTTTTGCTTTCGCGCTTTGAATTGTGTAATAAGCAGAAAAAGTAAGGTTGGAGATACTTTTTTGGCTGTATTGGCTGAAGTTACTATAGATGACCATTTTAGCTATTTTTACATATATTTAGTTCTTCATTTTATTAAAAAAATATATCTTAATTTTTTCTCTTAAATCATTAGAATCAGACAATGCAGTCACTTCAGCCAGAACTTCATAAATTTCTGCATAATTAGCCAAAACAACAGATTTTCGTTCTACCAAACGGGCCTGAATGTTTAAGAAAAATCTTGATTTTTAGCTTATTTGCTCTAAATTATGTAGTTTGTATGAGTTGCTATTAAATTATATTACCTCAGGTAGCTGAGTGCTTGTTTCTGAAATTCGTGGGGTGCAAGTGATATTACAACATATATGGAATGTCAATGATATATTCCCAATATATATTAGAAAGGGGACAGTGATGACACAGCTTAAATACCTTGGCATAATACTTTTAATGGAATAAAAACTTCAATGCAGAAAGTGATTTTTATTGGAATGTTGAATCATTATTCCCACTCTGCATTATGAGCATCTTTAGTGTCTGAAATCTTTCAAAATCTCAGCTTTTAACTGCCAATAGTACATTGATTGAGTTGGTCTTGAAAAAGTTGTTGCTTTTCAAATAACAGTTGAGTAATCTTTAATATTCTGCTGAAATTGCGTTACTCCTTGTTGATGTTTCAGGAAGTGGTTGGAGTTAAACCTTTTGTTGATTTATCACAAAGTGGTTGGAGTTGAAATTGTGATTGAGTTGGTTCACTTAGTTGTATAAAAAAGAATAAATTGATATATTATATACATATATAAAGAAATAAAAGAAAAATAACAACAATAATATCTTTAATATAGTAACCCCGTTTAAATAATTTAGACATAAGTAAGGATAAAGACATAAGTGTCATTTTCTTTCATCACCCAATAGAGTAACTGTGTAAATAATTTGTTTTCGTAAAACCTGGCCTATATTATGAACAGTAACCCCGTTTAAACGAGTGCCGGCCTCTATTACTGAGGAAATATTTTGGAAAAAAAGTAGAGCATATATTCTTAAAGTAAGGTGTAAAGGTGCCATTTACACTCATCATTGCGTCCAAAAAGAAAGAAAGAAAGAAAAGTGAAATTCCCTTTAAATAAATAACCTTTTGATACAAGGTTAGATGGGGATGATACAGACAAGTAATTGTTTGGGTTTTGTTGTAGGATCCGAGTCAAGGAAATTGGTGGATGCAGTTTGGGAGTGACACAGTTCTTGGATACTGGCCATCCTTCTTATTCTCATACTTGGCTGACAGTGCAAGCATGATCGAATGGGGTGGGGAGGTGGTGAACACGCAGCCTGACGGCTTGCACACCTCTACCCAAATGGGCAGCGGCCATTTCCCAGAAGAAGGATTCGGGAAGGCGGGGTATTTTCGGAACATCCAAATAGTTGACAGTTCAAACAACCTCAAGTCACCCAAAGGCCTTGGCACCTACACTGAGCAGTCAAACTGCTATGATGTCCAGACAGGCAAGAATGAGGACTGGGGCCATTATTTCTATTTTGGAGGCCCTGGTAGGAACTCTAACTGCCCATGAAAGTTGAAAAAGTCTAGCCCCCCATAACTTCCAACCTGTATCATTAAATGTAATCTAATTTTTCCTTTTCTTTGAGGATTTTAGGCATCAGTTAGTTGTAATTGTGAACGTATGTTTATATAATATATGTTCTCGTAAAGTGTTTTGATATTTTATCCTTTAACTCTTTGAGTCTTTTGCTCGTTTCAAAGTCTTTGTTCTTTTGTAAGCTTACAAGAAAATGTCCCAAATCATTTCTCATGCTAGGCAGTAGGCACTTTGCTAGTAAAAATAGGTAAAAGACACCTTTGTCACTTTGTGTTTGTAATTTTATTGTGCCCTTGAATTAGTGATGGACCTGGGCCGGGCCAAGGCCCGGTCGGACCTCGGGTCTGGTATAGGTTGGCCCAGGACCGACCTGGACTATGGCCGGTTCCGGTTCGGGCCGGGCCACCCGGCCGGGTCACGGGTCGGGCCACCCGGCCGGGTCACGGGTCGGGCCACCTGCCGGGCCGGGCCGTTTCATTATATTTTTTTTTAAATAATTATATATTATACAAATTCCTATTAAAAAAAAGTTCAAGTGCATTTATTTGAAATAAGAATTACATTTGAGAATTGAGAAAAAAATAACAATATGAAATACATTTTCTAATAAATATCAATTGAGATTTCCGCCACCGTTGGTTGTTGTTTTTTCCCTTTGTCACAGGACTTCATATGTTTTATTGGCATCCCGTATTCGTGTGAATGCCCCAAGCAACACTCTTGCATCACTTGCAAGTTGTCCACCACAGTCCGGTCTTCGGGTCCTTTTACTTATCAAAATTGTTTTGCATAAGGGAAGATGTACTTTCCATCTTTAAAATGATACTCCCTCCGTCCCAAAAATAACTTCCCACTTTCCTTAAATAGATGTCTCAAAATTAACTTCCCACTTCAATACTTTCCTTATTTGGCAAATTATCTACATCAAAAAAGTGATAAACAGTGCCAAACAGTGCACTCTACAGTAAAGTCAAATTTATTTCCTAAATATGTGTGTAGGTCAAACTGGGAGGTTGTTTTCGGGACAGAGGAAGTATATGTATAAGTAGGAATGTAGGATAATAAGAGAAGATGAAGATGGAGAAGAGTTGGAGAATAAGAAAATAAGTATTAATGAAATATAAGTAGAGAAGTAGATATTATTATGTATTAAGTATATAGTAATAGTTTATAAAGTATATTTAATACTTTAATATATAAAGTATATATTAAGTAGATGTAGTATGTATGTATGTATTAAGAGATATAAGTAGAGATTAAGTAGATAAGAAATATAAGTAATATAGTATATGTATTTATAAGTAGATAATTAATATATAAGTAGATATAATAATTGTATAAGTATTAAATAGTAAAATAAAATATAATGGAGAATAAGAGAATTTGAGAAGATGAATATGGAGATGAGTAGAGAGTAGGATTTAGGAAGAGTTGGAGAAGAGGTGTGAAAAAATGTTTAAAATTAGGAGTATTTATAGTTTTTTTTACCCCCACCCCCCCACCCCCCAAAGGCCCCGGACCCCCTGGTACCCACCCAACGGCTATATAGCCGTTTAGGAAGTGGGTCAAGTGCTCAAAAGGCTTTTTTAATTTAAAAGGATTTTTTTTTTTAAAAAAAATGGATCATTAGGCCCGGGCCCGACCCGTCCGGGCCGGGCCGCCAAACACTACACCCGAGCCCGGACCCGCCACCCCCACCGGTTCGGTGCCCGAACCGGACACGGACCCGAGAACCGGGCCGGTTCCGGGCCCCCACAGTAACGGGCCGGGCGGCCCGAACCGTGTCCACCACTACCTTGAATATAGACTACATGCTTCTTGCCAAAAAAGAAATGAATGCATTCATTTTGAGTAAAAAGAAAGTGAGATAATCAAAATGGGATGCAGGGGTAGTAAATTGTATCCAAAAAGGTTAAAAGTAGGCAAGCAAGAAAATGGGGAAAAGTGGAAAACAAGGAAATGACAAGAAACACATTTAATACATTAGATACGAGAGATTTTATGGTTGAAAGTTGCGATGTAAGGTGTTGGCAAATTTGTATTCAATGGCTTGCTTTCTCTCTCTAGATTTTCTTGTAGACTTTCAATGTGGTTTGGTCATTTGGAGATAGAGCTCGGGCTCGATCAGAGTGTACTATGATCGTTCTAAGTAATTAACAGAATTTTGCTCACTTTAGTTGATAAATTCACTCAGTAAAAGATATACGAAGTACAATCCAAAAGTCCAAAACGATCATATGAAAACTCAGAGGAATGCGTTTGAACCTTTGGACCGCAACAAATTAACCTCATATAAGTCATAACATACATATATTTCAAATGAACGATGGGAAGGAATATGAAGGCAGCAGTAGCAAGGACATGTGAGTGGGGATAGGGGATGTTTTTATTCGGATTACTTTTGGCCACCCCTTTTTTTGTTTTCTTTTTGTTTTGTTTTTGGAGAAAAGGATGCAAAGGCAAAGTACAGTAGTACACCCACCATGTTATGTTGTCGCTAATGGAAGTCTTTTCATCTTTTAAAGACTCCCCCACTCAAATTGTTCTTATTTAAATTCTGGATTTAGCCTCGTCTCTTATTCAATACTCACTCGTTAATATTCATATCTACCCACTTTTCTTTTTTTGGATGTAACATTTATATTTTCTCATTTCTAAATTTTCCCATTATGTCTTCAATAATTTAAAAAATAATACACTATTACACCTATTTTTTTTGGATCTATTCTTCATTCCATCACATTATTTCACTATTTTCCCATCATACCCTCAATAATTTATAGGGAAAACTGTCAAATATGTCCTCAAACTTTCATAAAAAAGTCAATTAAGTCTTTCTATAGGAGACTCTGTTCGATCGTCGCGATTTGGAGCGGTTCTCAGTGGAATTTTTTGATAATTTTTTTTGAGCATCTTATTCATCAAGTCAGGTTTACTCACACCAAATTTCAGCTAAAAATTTAATCGGGAGCGCATTCAAATTAATTTGAGAACGCAAAAATGCGCAGTTATCTTCAAGAATTAATTTGAATGTGTTCCCGATTGAATTTTTAGCTGAAATTTGGTATGAGTAAACTAGACTTGGTGAATAAGATGCTAAAAAAATTTCATCAAAAAATTACACCGGGAACTGCCCCAAATCGCGACGGTCGGATAGAACCTCCTATAGAAGGACTTAATTGACCTTTTTATGAAAGTTCAAGGACCTATTTGACAGTTTTTCCTAATTTATATCCCCTTTCACTATTCTTAATCTCACTCGCTTTGGAAGTTTGAAGATATATGTGATACGGAGGGAGTATATCAATACATTCATAATGTTGAGTAAACACTTAACACTTGCACCTCCAAAAATTTAACACTTTTTTTGGCGAGCCCATTTTTTATACAAGAATTTCTCTTACATATATGGTTATATAAAATTAAATTTATTATAAGGTAGGTTTTGGATCTAAAAAGATATTTTCTTACTTAAAAGAGCACATGTAATTCATAATTACCATTACACTAGAATGATATACGACAATACATTAACATATGTTCTGAAGATACTCCTCCTTATCGAGTTGATAATTGGGAAAAGAGTCAAATAAGACCATGTACTAATGAAAAAAGGTTAAATAAGCCCTTAATTAGAAAATTATGTCCGGCCGTCGCCATTTGGAGTGGTTCCCGGTGGAATTTTTTGATGAATTTTTTTGAGCATCTTATTCATTGAGTCTAGTTTACTCATACCAAAATTTAGCTAACAATTCAATTGGGAAGACATTCAAATGAATTCTTGAAGATAAACTGCAGTTTTAACTGCTCTGTTATCTTCAAGAATTCATTTAAATGTTTTACTGATTGAATTTTTAGCCGAAATTTGTTATGCGTAAACTAGACTCAATGAATAAGATGCTCAAAAAATTTCATCAAAAAATTCCGCTGGGAACCACCCCAAATGGCGACGGCCGTACAAAACCTCCTAAATAAGGGCTTATTTGACCTTTTTTGGTTAGTACATGGGCTTATTTGCCCCTTTTCCCTTGATAATTTGAGCCTAATTTGAGTACAAAACTTCAGATCTTAAAAAGTTATCAAAACCACGTTTGATGTGATTTAATTGTTTATTTAAGTGAAATTACCTTAAATAAGATTAAAAACGTTTCTAAATTTCAAAAATAGAACTGTCGTGTTTTTATTCCCAAAATAGGACTAATAACTGCCATGTTTTGGCAGTAACAGACTTTAAACATGATAGTATTTTTCAAACTTGACAGTAATTACTCATATTTTGGGAATAAAAATATGACAGTCCTATTTTGGATTTTACAAACGTTTTTAGTCCCATTTCGGTAATTTTCCCCTCTATTTAACCGTCATGATTAATGATAACTGATTAAGGGCACGTTTTGATCAATTTGTACACCCTGATGTTGATCGGTTAGATTTGGAATGAAGGACATGTTGAAGTACCTCTCCCACACTCGCATAATACAAAATAACAAACTAATGTATAGATAATAAAGTTAATTTCACATGGTAACTTATTCCCTCTTTGCTGAAAATATGTCATACACATATCATAAATAATGATTTGTTTTGGATATTGCTGGGATATTGGATCTCGGCCTATTATTACTCAGGACGTCCAATACACTAGCATGTATAAAGCTCGATAAACTAGGCCTATTTCGGCCTAGTATGGCAAAACTGTACCTCCCTTTCTTTTTCTATAAATAGGAGGTTCTCCCTCTATTTTAGGGGCATACTTCTTCTCTATAACTCCTACTTCGCTCCCTAGAAGCTTGTAAACCCCATTAATTGCTGCTTCAACCTTACTCTTATACAATGTAAATGGTGATGGAAAATTAATAAAAAAAGAGTGACTTGAACATTAGCCCGAAAAATCCTGCGGTTTTCCCCCTTTCGGATTTCCACGTAAAAATCACGGACTCATACCACTTTATATTTTTTATACAAATTTGTGTTGGATTAATTTATAACTTAATTAATAAAGTTATAATTCCCGTTTATAATAATTATGAGTTCTTTTTGTTGATGATAAATTCTTGAACAGTACGCTAAGTAGCTAATTAAGTACATGACTTAATTCTGGAGTGTTACACATTGTTATAAGTGCAATATTCTAATTAGTCTCTAGTCTAACTATTAGTAATATGGGATATCGATAACTAAATATCATACTGGCATGTAGATAAATTGATGGCTACATTTGGCAATATGAGTTGAAATTGGAGACTAATGACTGAATTAAAGGCTATTGTTTGAATGGGAGACTATAGTCTTGAATTGAATTTTGACATGCTGAATCTAAATTTCAATAGATCCGTTTGGAAAAAATAACTCAAAAAGTGTCTAAAAGTGTAAAATTACATTGTAGGGTATATATATTTAACAAAAGAAATATTTACTATAATGGGCAGCCCGGATCACGTTAGTCTCCCTTGAAATATATATTAGTACTATGTAACTATATTTAATTAATACTTCCTCCTTATCATTTTTATCTTCTCACTATTCTTTTTAACTGTAACATTTATATCTTTTCGTTTCTAAATCTTCCCGTCATATTGCCAATAATGTTGAAAATAATACATTATTACAACTATTTTTTTGGATTTATCGTTCATTCTAACACACTATTTAATTATTTTCCCATCATACACTGAATAATTTATATCTTCTTTCACTATTTTTAATCTCACCTACTTTTAAATGAAAAGATATAAATGTTACGATGGTGGTACTATATATTTACTTTATTATATTTGTACATGCTTTGTACTAAAATGGATAAGGATCGCCTTTCTGGTTTTGGACTTTTATTTCGGATGTGTTTACTTGGACTGTAATTTGCTGGTCTGGTCTTGTCTAATCTGATCTGGTCTGAACTGGTCTGGTAATGTCTTGCCTCTTTGTATTTTTATAACTATCCAAGTCTGATCTGGGACAAATTATGGTCAAGTAAAAACACCCTTCTTGTAACATTGTAACAATGACTTCATTCAAGTTTGTAGCTCCCGTGAGTAATGATCAACATTTCCGGCTCATTTTGGTTTCTTTCATTGAACAGAAAGGCTGTAAGGTTTTTTTATTAGCTGGTAAGGGAGAAGCTGTTAACCTGACCTGTGCACTTGATTAAAGGAAAAAACAAAACAGAAAGCGCAAAGCTGTTGTGTGAGATACTGGTGTACGTGTTGGTTTGATCCATTAATCAATTTATTACTACAAGATTACATGCCAT